GGAGTCGGCCTGTGTGAGTGATGCGAGTGTGATGTGAAATGAGGAGTGCTGAACGGAATCATGGAATAACAAATGTTTCTGTAATGTTTTAATGTGATCATGGAATAATTATTTTTTGTCAACAGCATACGGTGTAAGTACTAGAGATTCAAAGATAACAAGCTTTATTGAACAGGTGTAAAAGTGAGAGTACTCTGGGATGAGTACTCTGAGAAAAGTACTCTGCGGAAAGTACTCTGAGATGAAATGCCTTGCTGAAGATATTGGGAGTCCCTCCCTCTGCTGTTTGTCCTGACAGTGATTCGGTCCAACCGCAGTGAGCTGTCGTTGGTTGAAGGACAACTTTGGTTTGTAAACTCACATTTAGGGGAGTATAAAATTAGAAACATACATTTTGTTAAGTCTGTATTTGGCTACAGCCTCTGCCCTGATGTCACACACCGTCTGTCAATACAGTTATGTTTTGCCCAATTGGAAAAAAGATTGACAAGCGAAAGTGGGCATTTTTTGTGTTTTTTGTGTTCTAATATTTCTTTTTCAGATGAGAGATAAACTACCCCTGCTTCAGGGATGACAGTAGTATGGATCATGAGGAAATGAGCCTCCACTTTGGCACAAAAGCCCACAATATGAATTGAGGACGATCCGGGAGAAAAGCAACTGGAGATGAACGGAACAGTAAATCTACACACACACACTAGGTCTCCCTGACCCAACCTGGCCATTCACTCAGACTGTGGATGAGCGGTGTGGGTGCATGGTGTCGGTACTTTTGCAGTCTCACGGAGGGCCACTGAGACCCACTGCTTACTTCTCAGCAAAACTCGATCCCGTGGCAGCAGGGTTGCCTCGCTGCCTGCGGGCTGTGGCTGCCGCTGAGAAAGCGGCCCTAGCATCACGTGACCTTGTGGGATACACTGAACTAACTTTGCTTGTGCCCCATGCTGTTTCCCTGATCCTGCTAGAGCAGAAAACCTCTCACCTTTCTGCGGCTCGTTGGCTGAAATACAACTCTTGCTCTTTGAACTCCCCAATGTCACGGTGAAAAGATGCACACAGCTGAACCCCTCCTCACTGCTGCCCACGCCAGAGGAAGGGGAGGCACACTGCTGTATCGCCACAATAGAACAGATATGCACTCCCAGGCCAGACCTGAAAGAGGTGCCTCTGACTAATCCTGACTTGATTTTTTATATACAGATGGAGCCGCGTCACGTGACAACACTGGGAAGAACCGAATCGGCTATGCTGTGTGCTCTGATTTTGATACTATAGACTCTGGTAGTTTGCCCCCACCACCATTCAGCACAAACCGCTGAACTGATCGCGCTCACCAGGGCTTGTGAGCTGGCAGCGGGCAAAACTGTTAACATATTCTGTGATAAGCGTTATGGTTTCTCTGTGGTGCACGACTGGGGGGCACTGTGGAAACACCGCAATTTTATGAAATCTGATGGTAAACCAATTCTTAATTCCACACAGGTTGAACATCTGCTGAAAGCTGTAATGTTGCCCTTAGAGATCGCTGTATGCAAATGCCAGGCCCACACTAATGCCACTGATCCCATCTCTGCAGGGAATCGGCGCGCGGACAAGGCAGCGGCATACTCACCTCTACCCACACACACACACTACCTCACTCAAGACGTTGATATTTTCTCCTCTTTGTCAACAATGCAGGCACAGCAGAGACGATGCTGTGGGAGGGAAATGGGGCTCAACGACGGCATGGTGTGTGGCTGGGACCAGACCTAAAACCGTGCTTACCACGGCATTTCTTCAGACATTTTGCAATTTTAGCACATGGCCGAGACCATGCCTCAAAAGGAGGGATGTGTGATTTAATCACACAAAATTGGTATACAAAGGGGTTTACGGCATTTGCACAGAGATTCTGCCAAACATGCGCTATCTGCCTCGCGCACAACCCAGGTAAGTCCCAAATTATCCAACAGGCTGCTCATCCTCCGCCCCTGCGCCCATTTCAACATGTCCAAAGGGACTTTGTTGAACTCACACCATGCCAAGGTAAGAAATACTGTCTGGTGGATCTCTGGCCCAAATGGACTGAAGTATTTGCCTGCAAACACGCCACGAGCAACGCGGTGGTGAAAGCTCTGCTCACAGAAATTGTGCCACGATGGGGTGTCCCGAGAGAAAATCTCTAGTGACAATGGCAGTCACTTTGTAGCAAAAGTCATTGAGGAAGTAGGTGAATTTCTGGGCATTGATATACGTAAACACTGCAGTTACGCCCCCTGGAGCGGAGGCGCGTGCAAGCGAGAGAATGACACTCTGAAAAACAAACTTGTTAAATCTGCGAACAGACAGACCTGTCTTGGATCAAAGCTCTGCCGCTAGCCCTCATGTACATGCGCATGAGAGTCAGGTCAGGGTCAAACCTAAGCCCATTCGAAATCCTCTTTGCCAGACCACCCAACTTGGGCGCGGGACCCCCGAACAGAGATCCGCCAAGCACCTCTTTGTGTGGTGACGACATGCTGTCCTATTGTAAGGAAATTAATGCACTTTTGCCCTCTATTTCTGCCCAGGTCAGGAGCGCCCTGCCACAGGCTGCGCAGGCGGCTCCGCACAAGATCAAGCCAGGCGACTGAGTCCTGGTGAAGGAAACGAGACGACAACATTGGCGGTCCAAGCGCTGGCTGGGCCCATTCCTCGTCCTCCTGGTGACGGACACTGCCGTTAAGGTCGCGGAGAGGACAACTTGGATCCACGCCAACCACTGTCGTGCGGTGCTGCCACTGAGGGCCATAGACGAGGACACCGAGGGCGCGGACGGACCAGGCCCATCCGCGGCTCCCTACGCTGAAGAGGTCGGCCGGCGTGCGGCCACCGTCGGTGAAGCAGGCCAACAACAACACCCAGAGAATCCCAGCGTTCCCGAGGCGACCCCCCTTTGCCCAACTCCCCAGCCCCCGGACCCCAAGGCCACACCCCAAACCCCGAGCACTCTGCCCAACCGAGTGCTGAGGCCAAGGCTTCAACGCGATTAGAGTCTTGCCGCTCCAAGACCAAACATCGCCATGACCACTAACGCTCCACACACGCTCATAGGGAGCGGTGCCACTGACTGCAAGACGGCACTGTTCAGAGTTGAACTTCACGACCTACGTGCCGTTGTTCTTCAGGACCGGCTGGTCCTGGACCACCTGACCGCGTCTGTGGGAGGCGTATGCACGATCATTGGGTCATCCTGCTGTACATATATTCCGGCTAATGATGAGGACGGAGGTCTTATCCAACAGGGCATAGCCAATCTGACTAGACTCCGGGACGCCATGCAAGCGGACAATGTCACGGACACTCCTCACGGTCTGGACTGGCTCCTGTCCTCCTGGCGGAGTGTGCTCATTAATCTTGGTTTAGCCCTATTGACTGTTATGATTGTATTTTCATGTGTATTACCTTTGGTGTTTCGGGCCGTTGGTAAAATGATATCCACTCACTTTGTGTTCATTCAATACAAAGATCCCGAGGCGGACCTGGCCGCTGTCCCACTGAACTCCGATCCTGATTATATCAGCGATTCGGACGATGACTTTGTCTAACATTTTTCTTTCTTGTTTACCTTGTTTTTATTTTTCCACTTGTTTCGCCTACAATTTAGGGGGAGGGTATCACAGTGAAGAGCTTTGACCACACCCTCGTAATACAAGAGGCTTGGGTGACGGCAGCCTAGCCTGCCCATCAACAACTCTTGTTTTGCTCAGGGGTCAAGGTCAATACTCACCCACCTGAATGTGATCTCTGTAAAACTGGAGTTTCTACATTATCACGGGAGAGGAGTGTGATGGCAATCTGCCTAGACTCGGGGACGCCAACTCACTCCCCCTGCTGCTCTATTCAGCTAACCTGCAGGAAGGAGCCGAGGCTCCCCGCACCGCCAGACAATGACGCAAATCACTGTCTCACCCTTGTCCCTTTCGCATCTTGCATCTGTATGCCTGCATCTCTACATCCTGCATGACCATTGTCTGTCTGTTTGCACCTCCATGCCACTGTCTGATTGCCTCACCACGGGCATGGCGCCTCCGTCTCCGGATGCGCCTCCTGTACTGGTGACCCCCTCCCATCTTTTGTAGGCGTGACTGTCTTTTCATGTGTTGTCTATGTAAACAGGAACCTGAGCTCTCCGCGTCAGAGCTTATGGACGCTGCTTTGTGTATGTGAGCTCTCCGCACGTGTGTACAATAAACTTACGCTCCTGATTAAGACAAATACCTTTGAGCTTTCTCCTTCATTGGGGTATGTAATTCTACAACAGAACACAAAAGCCGGAAGTAAACCGGAAATGCCCAAAAAACTCGTCTATAGTCTTTCCTGGTAGCTATGGTTAGTGCCAAAAGTCCTATTCACACAAGATTAGTGTTACCTGGAGACTTTTGGCGATTTGTGATCATTCCGGAGGTTGTCTTAGGTCCTAGTTCCTGTTTACACGGAGACGCAGCCATTTGAAAAAAAAACTACCCCACTCTGGATTCGAGGTGCGCAGCGAGTGAAAACGATGTAGTTCTAACGGTCGCCAGAAGAGGGCAGTGGAACATTATGACACGCATGACAGAGACGCCAAAGAGTTTGCACTTTTTTTGTTTGTCTGACTCCGGAGGTCGATTTTCAAAGCTTACGTTTTCACCCTGTGTAAAATAAAAGGCTTGTGTATTGTGAACAAACGGATCTGATTGTCAACGATATCGTCTTCCTGCCACGGCGTCTCCGTGTAAACAGGATCTTAGTCCCGTGCAAATGTGTTTGTAATTTGTTAAATAAAAATTCCACCTTAAATGACCTCCTGTATTTGTCCAAACACAGACGTACGGTGGTGATACTAATTCTGTGTGATTCTGTCAATCTGAATATGTTTTGTGTTGATATCTTGCACCTTTCGTTATCCCTTCAGGTTTGAACAACGGAGGCCGCGGTAGACATTTTGATTTGCAGTTTTTACAACTTTTTAGCAGCAAATTATAATCCGGCTCCATATGGAAACAGATCTGCAGGAACGAAAAGAGATCAGAGACGACATGTAAGAAACATGTATGCATCATTACAAAGCTGGGTTTTATGATTATTCGGACGCGATATCAGTGGAAAGAGAGTCATTTACTTGGGCTGGAAAAGTTGAAAATGACAAGTCTCCTGGTAATTCTGCACAAATAAGGGTTTAGAGCTATTTCTCTGTAATTCTAGAACAATCCACATGAAACAAGAACACTTTCTTCTTTCCCACGGAGTTTTATTGACACCTGCCGAATTAATTGAGAGTCCTGCTCGGTCTCTTGGGGGGGTCAGCCTGGGTCCTGCCCGGTCTCTTGGGGGGGTCAGCCTGGGTCCTGCCCGGTCTCTTTGGGGGGGTCAGCCTGGGTCCTGCCCGGTCTCTTGGTGGGGTCAGCCTGGGTCCTGCCCGGTCTCTTGGAGGGGTCAGCCTGGGTCCTGCCCGGTCTCTTGGGGGGGTCAGCCTGGGTCCTGCCCGGTCTCTTGGAGGGGTCAGCCTGGGTCCTGCCCGGTCTCTTGGGGGGGTCTCTTGGAGGGGTCAGCCTGGGTCCTGGCCGTTCTCTTGGGGGGGGTTTCTTGGGGGGGTCAGCCTGGGTCCTGCCCGGTCTCTTGGTGGGGTCAGCCTGGGTCCTGGCCGGTCTCTTGGGGGGGTCAGCCTGGGTCCTTCACAGACCTCAGTGTGGGGAGTTGTCAGTTGCATTCCTCTCCAGTTTCACAACATCTCGTTTTCATGGAGCTCCTCTCAGTGGGAAGTGTGTGTGTGTGTGCGTAAAAGTGTGTGTGTGTTTGAGAGTGTGTGCGTGAGTGTGTGCGTGAGAGTGTGTGCGTGTGTGTATGTGCGTGTGTGTGTGTGCGTGTGTGTGTGTGTGTGTGTCTGTGTGCGTATTGCTGCAGCTCCTCTCAGCAGGAGGTGATTTACGAGGCGCTGCAGCTGATGGGAGGCGTGTTCTAGAGGTGCTTAGCATGTCACCTCACAGCGGGACCGTCCAAAGTCTGAGGCTGAGTCCAAGTCCAGGTCAGACCCTGCTGAGTCCACCTGTGTGTGTGAGAGCTCTGTGTGTGTCTCTATGTGTGTGAGAGAGCTCTGTGTGTGTGTGTGTATGGGGGGGTGTGTGAGAGAGAGCTCTGTGTGTGTGCAGAAGATCATGTGTTCCTGTGTTTGATCGTGGACAGAGACGCCCAAACCTTCCCCTCCCGAGACACTTCCACCTCATCAGGAGGACTCCCTTTCCAGCTTAGAGTCCACACGGGCTACACACACTTTCGCCTTTAATAGTTTCTTCAATCATTTGGAACTGAACATGAACATTGCTTTCTTCAAGGCGTGAACATTAAAAGTCCTCTGTGTCATTTTTTACATTTGCTCAAAATGAAAAGACGTGTTAACCAATAACAAATGTGACTTTTTAAAGAATATTTACCTTCACAATGTTTTTGAATATTTGTCTTAGGCTTAGAATTGGACTAATAAATGTCCGTGGGGCCGGAGGACTCTACATGTCAGTCCGCCATCTTGAAATACAGTAGTTGATAAGGGACAAAAAGGAGTTTGAGCGGGAGTTGGGGACGGCTGTCAAAGACCACATATTGTCCTGAGAAGCTACTGTAGGACCGTAAATTACAATATATGATCTCAGCGCTAGATGGGAGTAAAAACTACAGTGTCCCTTTAAACTGAAATAACACTTTTACACGTTTCTGATAAAATAATGAGACCATAGATAATTTGTATTTGTTTATTCATTGGTTCCTTTAATGAAAATGCTTTTCTCACAAAAATGATATTAGTTACAATATGATAGAGACCTGAGAGAGAGACAAGAGAGAGAGACTAGAGAGAGACCAGAGAGAGGGACCAGAGAGAGAGACTAGACTGAGAGACCACGGATAGCACAAGGAGAGAGACCAGAGAAAGACAAAAGAGAGACCAGAGAAAGAGACAATATCGTAGACTAGAATCTGACTTGAACGTGGTGATGTCACACAAATGCAAACGATTCAATATTTTGCCACCATGGTGCAGCTCTAAATGCTCTGGTCCAGAACCGTGGTCCTTCAAATGGAGTCCTAGCCTGGTCGTACCACACCACAGTACAAATTACATTTCGTACTAAGGTCTGGAGGTGCTCCATTGACTCCATTTACAGGTGGGAGGAGTGAAGGCATCTGAGTTTACCGTGACGTATGTAATGCACCCGAGTGAGTCGTTAGCATTTAGCATTTAGCCTAGCCATCTCCTTTGCCGCTAACGGAGCCCTAGGGAGTAGCGCCACAATTTTTACATTTGCTAAACATTACCCTTGCTCCGGCTTCAATTTCTTGATAGAACCAGACCGGATTACTTTACTATCGCATTCTTCGCCATTGCCAAACCACAACCTGCCCGTTCGGCGCAAACTCTTGACGTCACCCACATCAAACTACAACACCCGCCTCCCGCGCTCGTTGATTGGTCGGATGGAATTCAACCGCTATAATCGCTAACCCAGGGACCAGACCCAGACGTTACGTGCAGGAAATGATGATTGACCGGAGTGTATGGATGGATGAGGCCAGACTAACTTTCTCCTTGTTTCATGTACATTTTTGGTCGTCATAAATTTGCGACTTTTTCAGTTTCTATATGTAGTTTTTTTATATGAATTTCTTGTCAATTCCCAGTACTGGTCCTGGACTGGTTCTAGTTCTCCACAACGGCTCAAATTTCGCGAAATGTATTTTATTTTGAGCACATTCTGACTGAGCCTTAAAACAAGATTTGACGACAGGACAAAGCAAAATGATCTTGTTTTTAAAAAATACAAGAAATGTCTCGCCTGGAATGAGGAATAAAGCAACAGTAAGACGAGTAAGTAAGTAATGTTTATTTATATAGCACATTTTACAGACCAAGGTCACCCAAAGCGCTTTACGTTGTTCAGAGTTCAGATAGTTTTACATTCTCTCCACACGGTGATGATGGAAGCGAGACGTCGAACACACTGGACCATCAAAGCCTCCGACCAAACACCACTCATTTACATTCAAACCTATTGTGGATGTTTTTAGTGGTAGGGGAAACCGGAGGAAACCTACGCAGACACAGGAAGAACACGCAAACTCCACTCAGAAAGGCCCTGTTTCGACCGGGATTCGAACCCAGGACCTTCTTGCTGAGACCAGTGGGGGCGGGTCCCGGCTCAAAAATGGCCAAAATGACGTCAGTGCACGTCATTTTGGCAATACCACCCCGGGCCAATGGGGGTGGACCCAGAATAAGAATTAGCCAATGCTAACATATAGCGTCTTCTTACCTCTCGAAAACGTCTTTACAGGATGGACCAAAAGTTGGCTCTTGGCCAAAAGCTCGGTTCCACATGTGTGTCAATGCTGAGGGGGGTATTCTGGACCAGTCTAGTTTAGTCACTGTGAGTTTTAGAAGTCTCTCGTTTAAATGAATGGAGCTTTTTCACATTTTCCAGCCCCCACGGCCATTTTGAATCACTCCATGAAAGCCCAGTTTTTGGCCCATTAGTTAGAACAGCGGAGATAGCCGTGACTACGTCCGTTAATATTTACAGCTGTGGCTGAGACGCGAGAGTGCTAACCACTCAGCCTCCGCCGACTAAATGGCTTTGTCCCATTTGATCTTTGTTTAAAACAGTCAGAATATACTCAAATTAAATAAAAACCACTCGTTTCAAGCAATCATTACCTCCTATTTTATCATGTATTACTTTCAAAATTCTGGGAGTCTAGTTTTCTATCTAGAATCAAGTTTTAAGCGATTCAAAAATATCTAAACGAGAATCTAACTGTCCCAATCTATCATAATGGATTCGTGGCATGGACTGTGGACTCACAAAGTTAAATATTCCCAATAGTCATGGGCCTGGGAAGCATAACATTTTCGATATTGAGATTATTTTAAATGTCTCAAACCTTTGGGGAGCGGCTCAGAGACAGGAGCTACAGGTCGGAGGCGGCGGCTGAAGATTTACAGCGGGTCCCGTTGGCGAAGCGCAGGACCAACACAAGACGCTGAGGTGTGTGAGAATGAACTGGTTTGGGCTCAGATCCGGGCGTGAAATACGAGCGTCCAATGAAGCTGTCCACTGGAGAAAAAACAGTTTGAGTGGATTAAAAAGAGGAGGTTGTTACTTTAGACCAGAGCAGACGGAAAGGCCATAAAGAACCACGGCTTTCTAATTTACGAACCTGTTTGTGAGACAGTGGGAGGCGGTTATTCCACAGCGTCACTTTGGCTGAAATATGGAGACAGATCTGTGTGTGAAGTTTTTTAAAAGAGACAAGAACATTCATGGACATTTCCCTTTGGAATGAGGAACCAATTTCAACACCATCTTCTATACTTTATAGTCCCCGATTTTTAAGGGTGGGAGAAACTGGAGCAGTCGAAGGAAAAGACTGCATTCAGAAAGGCCTATCTCAGACCAGGATTTGAACCCAGGTCTTTCTTTAGGCTACGAACCTTCTAACCTTCTTTTTTTGATAAGACAAGAAAGTAAAGAAGCTAGTACTGTTTAAAGTAGTACGAGAATTTAATATGCTGCCATCCAGAATATATAACTACAATATGTGTTTATAATATTTCGGGTGTTCATTTTGACATGTTCAGATGAATTATGTTAAAAAAACGGCTTTGAAGTGGCACCTTTTCACAAACACTGGGGGGCGCCAAAATGGCGGCGATGACGTAGGAGAATGACCTCTCACAGCAGCAGCAGTCTGGGCTGAATCTGTAGGAGGTTTCACTGTCATCTGAACAAGGTATAAACATATTTTCATCAGTTTTGTACATAATAGTGTGCAACTCTTTTAACCTTTTAGCCTTATTTGTGAGATTCAAGCTAATTAGTGTTGGGCAAGTTAGCTAACTCTACTTGATATCATAAAACATGCTAACAAGGCTAATATTCGTTTTTACATTATGCCAGTCTCACTTTGGTTACTTTAGATTTATTTACCACAATGTACATTGTAATATCCATAAATGCTAACACCTATTAACGGTTTAATTAGCATTTTTATCAATGATGTCATCACATGTAGTCTATGTTTTCAACTTCTGCAGCTTTTTGTTCATAAAAGTAAAATATTTATTTAATTCAAGTAATTTATGGATATTACAATGTACATTGTGGTAAATAAATCTAAGGTAACCAAAGTGAGACTGGCATAATGTAAAAACAAATATTAGCCTTGTTAGCATGTTTTATGATATCAAGTACAGTTAGCTAACTTGCCCAACACTGATTAGCTTGAATCTCACAAATAAGGCTAAAAGGTTAAAAGAGTTGCACACTATTATGTATAAAACTGATTAAAATATTGTAGCGACCCTGCATTTATGTTATGTTAATGCTGTTATTTCATGTTATTCTTCACGGTTTAGTGCACTTACAGGATTGGTTCTGAGGATGGAGGGGCGGGCCTACTGGGGGGGTTAGAGAAGATTGTTTTGATATAACGCAGTCTTTTTACCCGGGACTGCGAACGGGCTGTTGTTCTGCTAAGTTGTGGACTTGTATTGGCGTGGTTACGGTCGACAGTAACCATCTTGTATTAAAGCAACAAGTAGAACACTGTCTCATTCATTACCTCGAGCCAGGACGTTACAATATGTTTATACCTTGTTCAGATGACAGTGAAACCTCCTACAGTTTCAGCCCAGACGGCTGCTGCTGCTGTGAGAAGTCATCGCTGCCCCCTAGCGTTTCTATGCGGAAGTGAAAAGGTGCAACTTTTTAACATAATTCATCTGAACATGTCAAAATGAACACCCGAAATATTACAAACACATATTATACGGCTCCTCACAGCAGCAGGAGAACGCTCCATTGATTTGAATGTAATTTCAAAACGTTCTACCGGTCATTATTTTTTATAACGGACCTCTCAAAATAATAATGACCGTTGCCCATGGCAACGCAAGATCTTGATCAGATCACTCCGCAAGTGGTCCTGGCACTTCGTCAACGAGCTGTGAGCGACACCGTCTGGCCGAAAACATGAGCGAGTTTAAAGTGGATTTTAATATTTACGGGGAGTATGGGGATTTTGATCACTGGTGGGACGCACAATCTAATCCGCCGTCTCCCAAACGTAAACGAAAAACTCAAGAAGAACAGGAGGAGAGCAACCAAGAACAACAGGAGCTAGATAAGACAAACAAGAGGCATAAACACCTAACGGCTGACGAGATTAATGAAATAGAAGAAAACCGTCATGAGACAAACACAAAGAAGAGCACAATTTGGGCAATGAAAGTATTCAAAGATGGGGTAAAAGAGACCAACAATTCGTCTGTTGCGGATGATGCAGATGGGTTGAACACACTTTTGAGAATGTTTTATCCATCCGTGCGTACCAGCGCTGGAGATGTCTACTCTGTGGCAAGTTACACTGCTCTGCGTAGCGGAATAAACCGTTATTACAGCCAGTATAACATCCTAAAGAATCAACTATTCAATTCCAGCAACAATATTTATAAATCGGCCATAAAGGGAAATCGCAAGAGTGGCAAAGACGCCAGCCAGCCTCATCCGCCAATCTCCAGCACTGATTTGACGAAGATAAAGGATTCTGGTGTCCTCACTTCATGCACAGCGATTGGCCTTCTGAGAAAAGTATGGTTTGATGTTCAGTTACACCTTGCACGTAGGGGAAGAGAAGGTAACCGGGACCTAACACGAGAGTTGTTTATATTCAAGCAAGATGAAAATGGAAAAGAATTTATCACATTATCCCACAACGCTGACACAAAAAATCACAAAAACCCCTTGGATCCGATGCAACAGATATATCGCGGCTGCATTTTTGCTGAGCCAACAAACCCAAATTGTCCAGTTGCAAGCTTTAAATTGTATCTTTCCCTTTGCCCACCGGATTCCCCTGCATTCTACCTTCACCCTCTTAGAAAGCCACAGGAAGACCTGAACCAGCAGAACATCTGGTATTCCAGGGAGCCCATGGGGCATAACGCACTGGGACAAATGATGCCAAATATTAGCAAGGCAGCGGCACTTTCGAGGCGCTACACCAACCATAGCCTGCGCAGTACAGCTGTGCAGCTATTGTCAAAAGCCGGCCTGCAAACACTGGAGATTATGACGGTTACCGGACTCTGAGCTACTGGACTCCCACAACATCTGACCGGGAGAAGTGGAGCCAGATCCTTTCTGGTGAGTTGCCTTATTACATTTTTCCCTTCTATCCCGCAAGCCCTGTTCAGCATATTTACGCTAGTGTTATCTATTTCCAGAGGCGCCCACTACTTCTGTCTCTGCAAGAGAAGCAGGGGGAATCGCTCCTGAGTTTAACGGGAGTAAGGCTTTCAACTTAGCCAGAGATACACCACCATTCCTCATCTCCAACTGCACCTTCAACGGGAATGTCCAGTTTAATGTGAATAAGTAGCTGGATATAACACGCAAAGCCACACTGCCTGCCCGCGGTTGCCGAGCAACGGGAAAACCTTTTGGGACTACTTTATTTGTTGTCATGAAATAAACTTTTGGCATTCATAAAAGTGACCTAAAGTTTATTTTGTGTGTTAAGTTGGTACAAAGCGCGTCGGGGTCCGCTTTGCACTGTTCGTACTTATTTTCCGATAAGGACCTGTATGCTATACATTATCCCTTACATATTGTAGTTATGTATTCTGGATAGCAGCATGGTAAATTCTAGTACTACTTTAATTACCACATGTTTTGGTGGTCGACTTCCCCCTTCGTCAGAGGTGATGGTGTGAGGCGTCTCTGATCAGCTGGTATTGCCAGATGTGCTACTTTTTCATGGGAAAAGTAGCACACTACTCATTTTAAACAGTTGACACAATGTTGAGCCACAGTGGATTCAGTCGATTTTATCCAGATTTTAAAAAACTTCTTAAAACAATGGAACAATGTTGGTGTCATATGAACCAGCCCGGACTCTGAGGAGCACAGGGACTGGCCTCCTGCTGGTGCCCAGAGTGAGAACCAAACATGGGGAGGCTGCGTTTCAGATCCATGCAGCTAAGATTATTATTAGTTTATTTGATATGGACATATCAACTGCAATGGACAAACCAGATACATTGTTTCCAGTGTTATAGCAAAACTGCTAATTTGCAACACCTGTCCATAGGAGGCTACACATTTCAAAAAACACAATACAATACAGTACAATATTTAAAAAGGTAAACAATACACAATTACACATCATCAGTATACATTTCATACAGTGTTACCATGTGAGCAGTTTTGACTTGACTTCAGCCATTGTTTCAGACCTCTGTAAAAACTGTTCATGTCAGTCTGCAGTTTTAAATCAGTGGGCAGAGAGTTCCACAGTCTGGATCCATTAAAAGAGAAACTGGACTGTCCAAAAGATGTTGTAAATTTTGGGAGAACACAGTCCCCACTCACCGAGGCTCTGGTGGAGGGTCTGCGGGAGTCCTGACGCCGAATAATGAGAGCGGAAAACAGCGGCGACACACGACTGTTCAAACATTTAAAAACCAATTTCAGAATACTAAAATGTATAAAGTTTTCGAAAGTAAAAAGATTATGTCTATGGATGATGTCACAGTGATGCCATTTCATAGGTTTTCTGTCAAATACCTTGACTGCCTGTTTGTACAATGAAACAACCGGCTTGAGTGTGGACGGGGAGGTTTGTGACCAGGATGTGACGCAATAGGACAGATGTGAAAAAATCATGGCATGCATGTATAACAGGGCGGCCTGATAGGACAGATCCCTCCTGATAAAACGAAAACAATTCAAGTTGGATTTGACCTTTTTACACACATTTTTGACTTGACTTTGAAATTTAAGGTTGTTGTCAAGGATAATTCCAAGATATGTGGTTTCTTTTACTTCTTGTATAATTTCATTGTTTATGCGTACTTCAAAGGTGCTGTTAGAAGGTCTTGTTTTAATTGAGAAACAGACAGCGACGGTTTTCTTAACGTTTAAGCTTAGGTGAGACAACTTGAGCCATTTTGAGATGTTTACTAGGGCAAGTGTCAACTGCTGCGCTGCCAGAGCTGGAGTTTTAGCAGACAGATGAATTACTGTATCATCTGCGTACAGCTGGCAGTTGACACCTTGGCAGCTATCAGGGAGGTCATTGATGTACATTGTGAACAACAATGGCCCCAGTACTGATCCTTGAGGAACTCCCATATTGTTAGGGAAGAGAGCCGACATCACCCCATTAACCTTAACACACTGCTGTCTTCCCTCCAAATACGATTTTAACCATGCTAAAGAGCTTGGTGACATTTTAAAGAGCTTGAGTTTGTTAGACAGCACGCTGTGATCCACAGTGTCAAAGGCTTTTTTTAGGTCTAGAAATACTGCACCAACTACTTGCCCTTTGTCTAGAGGCCCTTTGATCTTCTCTAGCAAGAAACAATTAGCTGTTTCGGTGCTGTATTTACGCCTAAAACCAAATTGTTGAGGATGCAGCAGCTGGTTTGACTCAAGATGTTCAATGAGTTGTTCTGCAATTACCTTTTCCAGGATTTTAGACACAACAGGCAGAATGGCAATAGGCCTGTAGTTGTTGGGTGTGTCCTTTTCGCCTGACTTGTGGATCGGTGTTATTACAGCAGGCTTCCAACACTGTGGGAATGTATTTGACCTGATTGAGAGATTAACTAGATATGTAATTGGTTGTAGTAGACTGTCCTGATGTTTTTTAATCAAGGTCACACTTAAGTTATGGATGTCTTTTGCCGCGGAGTTGTTCATATTTGTTATTATCTTTTTAACTTCATCAGAAGAGACCTCTTGGATTTTAAAAAGGCTTGCGTTACCCAAGTTAACATCTTCAGCACATGTCACCTTGTTTTTAAATTTGTTTGCTAATTCATGCACAGAGTCTATAAAAAAATTATTAAAAACATTTGCCATTGACTCATTGTTATTGACAAGAGTGCCATCCACTTTTATGGAATCTATCCTAACGCACCTTTTTTTGCAGGGTTGGTTAAGTAGTTTATGTGTTGCCACAATTTAGAGCTACAACCGTTAGCCTCTTCTATCTTTTTAGTAAAGTAGTCGGTTTTGGCTTTACGTAGATTGCTTGTGACTTGATTTCTAAGTGTAGTATAGATTTGATAGTCTATGCTGTTTCTAGACTTCAGAGACTTTTTACGTGCAGTGTCACGTTTTTTCATAATATGCCAAATATCGCTGTTAAACCATGGGAGGGAATGCTTTTGTGGTTTACTTGTCCATGTTTTAGTAAAGTTTTTTACCATTTTACTCAGAGTAGAGACAAAGATATTATCACTTTCGTTCACATTGGACTCTTTCATAACATTATCCCAGTTTATTTGGTTCAGTTCTTCTTCAAAGATGTTTAGTTTTGCTTTTGGAATTCCTGTTTTCTAGTCCTGATGCGGTCCATCAGGACTAGAACCTCCCGCCACAAGAACAGTTTCTTCCCCTCTGCTGTTGGACTCTTGAACACTTCTTAACCTGTCCCCCCGCCCTTTATAAAGTCACTTTACTGCCCATCATACGTCACTTTACTTCACTGTACTGCTGTCACCTTACATTGTGTGCACCATGTGCACTTGTATATTGTAAATAGTAACTGTAACTCTATTTTAAATTTAAATTTATTCTTCAGAAGTTTTTTATTCTTATTTTTATTATCTCTTTTTGACTGTTGCACTGAGCCAAAGCAATTTCCTAGTCTGTGACCTCCTGTTACTTACGTGGCAATAAAAATGATTCTGATTCTGATTCTGATTCTGTATTTTTGTTTCTTGGTTATGATAGGTCAATTGTTTATTACCCAATTTCCTAACAATTACGGTCATGTTATGATCGGAGAGCCCAGTAATGAGGTTATACGTTTTTGTTATTCTTTCTGGCCTATTTGTGAGAATGAGGTCAATCAGCGTTTTACTACTTCTAGTGACTCTGGTAGGTTTGTCTATCAGCTGTTTATATTTAAATTTATCTACTAGGACTTTTAATTTCATTTTGCTACTTTTTTCCAGCCAGTTTATATTGAAGTCGCCCAATATTATGCTTTCAGAGCAATCCATGTTAGAAAGGAAACTCTTGAATTCATTGTAAAAGTGTACATTGTGTGAAGGTGGATTGTAAAGAACACATAAGTTAAATTTCATGGTTGTAGACAAAGTAACTCTGAGTGCAAGGCACTCCAACTTCACATTAATTGCAACATCTTCACACTGAAACTGATCTCTAATGTATATTAACACCCCCCCGCCCCTTCCCTTTTCCCGGTCTCTTCTAAAGCACTTATAGCCTAGTATGTTAATTAGATTTGTTGGAGTACACTGATTTAGCCAGCTTTCAGAAACGCACAAAAAGTCCAAATTCGAGTCAGTTAACAGGTTATGTATTTGGTCTATTTTTGGTAAAATACTTCTAACATTGAGATGTCCACCTAGTATTCCTTTGGGTTTCGTTTGCGGATTCCATATAACTTGCGCATGATTTACAGTCTGGAAAAACTTGAGCTGCCTCTGCTTCGTTGTTGCGCGATTTGAAGTTTTGACCCTTGCAGGACACCGTCTTTGTTTACTTTCTGCATCTGTCATAGCAGCATTGGAAGATGTTTGATTCTCGAGTACTTGGTGGTTGGATGGATTACAACTCACCGCCGTAGCGAGACAAATGGTGTCCGATGTTCTTTGTGGCTCCGTTAGCCGCCGGTTCATCATAGAGGTAGTAGCCTCAGCTGTTTCAGCAGACCCGCAGATGGAATCGCTAGGCTTCACCTTGCTGGATCTTGTGACAGCGACAGGCGAAACCCGGACACTCGGTCTAGCGGCCTCTGGTGCGCACGATGAACTCTGGTGAAGCGCTCCACGGTAATCCTGTATGGCGTCCTCGTCCAAGATCTGGAACAATCTCCCTGAAAATGTGAGGGAGGCGTCTACTCTGTCAATGTTCAAATCCAGTTTAAAGGCGCTATACCCGTTTCTGCAATGTTTGAATGTTTAGCACCGCCCCCCAACTCGCTCACAGGCTTCTCATTTCCCCTACGCTCTCATAACGCAGAGCCACCTAGTTTTATTTGCGATCTGATATGTATGCTAACATTAGCATTAGCACAACTTGTAAGCTGTGCAACAATCACTGATGAAATGGTACTAAAGCAATGCACTGCTAACACAATATATAAGTAAAAGAATACCATTAGTTTCGCGTCCGAATGTATTAATTTAAACATTAGAATATATTCTAATATTTAATTATAATTTGTTATAGAGCTCCTCACAGCAGCAGCAGCAATTCTTCCGATCATTTTTTCTTGATAACAGAACTCTCAAACCAATAATGACCGCAGCCCCAATGCAATCTCTGTTTGTAATTCAGGTGTGTAAAATACTGCCATTACTTACAACAAGCTATCAGCACCTGTCACTACACACTTGTCTGTGTAGAGAAGCTAGCGGAGCTAGCCACGCTTAATAAACAAATACATATCTATCAATCAACACCATTAAACGTCAATCGGACAATACAGTATACATATACATCCTTAACACACATGCACGGACGATTTCAGAATTAGCAGTCAACGTTTTCATGACAAAAATACTGTTTTAAAGTGACAAAAAGCGATCGCGAAAAACCCGGAAGTTACCATGAAACAACTAGCTAGCTTAGCTGTTACCTGCCTAGCACGTCCCGGTGAAACCTTTGGGAGCTAACTATTTTATTTGCAGTCATTAAATACATTTCTAATTATAAGGGTTGTCTAATATTTGTTCAAATATGTATATATTTTTTATTTTAGAATTATATTCGAATTTTGAAGTCGAAGCCCTGGTGTTGAGCAGCGCTGTAGAGGCTAGAGGACGCAGGCTGGTCGCTGCTCGTTCTGTGAGTGGAGGAGAAAGAGCGGCCCGCTCAGACTCTACTCAGCACTTTTCACTGCTTGAATTTCATACACAGTGGAATCAATGACCTCAAGTTTTCAATTAAATTATGTATTATGATACAACTATGTATGTAGTAAAAACCATTTTTATGAACTACTTAGAAAAAAAATCGGGTATAGCTTCTTTAACCCCTTAAGGATCACCCTCCCTGTACAGGGAGGATTCAGTTATTTTTCATTTAACAGCATCAGTATTAGAATTCACTTGTGTCAATATAGTCAAGCTATATCTCTTTTGAAAGGTTATTCCCACCTCTATACACGTATTATGTTCAAATAAACATTAAATATAACCAAAAGTAAGAATAAGTAGTCAAACTGTATATATATTTAAAATATATATTGTCCTTTCTTACCTTGTCATGCTAATATTCTGGGGCAAATCACGTCTAATCCACACATGTGTGAATTCGTTTTGTTCGTTAGGGTCTAGAGAATAATTATATCCAGTTGTTTTTTCTTCAAAGTCATCCTTATAGTAGATATCCACTTGCAACAATATATTTGAGTATTGAAAGTTGCACAAACAAAAACAAAACCTGTTCTTTGCGCACTGTATGAAGAGGACATTTTACTGTTTAGCTAGCGTCACTGGGTATGTTCGTCTTCCCCTAAGCCTCCCCTTCAAAACAAGCCCATTCCCGGACTTTTCAGTGCTATGGTTTGGAAGGTAGAGTAAGTTGAGTAAAACAAGCGCACCTAGCTTTAGCGCTCCATTCACATAGATATCTGCGCGTCAAGACAGCATTGTCTTGACTACCATTGGCCGATTTGGATGTCAATCAAATCATCTTGTAGCCAATAATCTCAGGTTTCAGGCGATGTGTCGGACTTCTAGTTTCCTCCCACTGTTCCCGTCATATTTGAATGCGTAAAGAGGAAGACGGAGCCTTTTTCACGGAGAACACGCGCTATAACTATATAAATAATAGCTTTTCTGAAAACATTTCAATATCTGGAAAAAATGCTATTTATAGCAAGAGTAATAGCCAAAAAATTATATAAATGGATTTTTGGTGTAAAAACATTGATAATTTGCATGTAAAACACTTTGGCACAGTTGGCACAAAAATGGACCACTTGTGCCGAATGTGCCCATTAGTTACAAAAAAGCCCCCAGCATCAAAATAGTTCCACCTAAAGGTCTAAAATTTCATACAGGTGTTTCCAACACCACAAACATCTGCTCTGGTGAGTTTGAACATCATACCATAAAGTATGTCTTCAGGAGAACCTTTTGAAATTGCCTTCTTTTTTTTTGACAAAAAAAACTAACTTTGACTCATGTTTGAGAAGGTGTAGTGCAGACTGGGTCCTTCCTAACAAACTGTAACATACATTTTCAGAAACTAGAAGGTGTTACCTTTCAAATGAGGCCTCATAACACAACATCAGACACAAGATGTCCACACAATAAGCATTTCCATTTGGGTATCATAATTCGAGAAGGAGCAGGCGAAATTAGGTGATCCTTAAGGGGTTAAAGACTGTTCTGTTTGCCTGTGCATACAACTGAAGGATTTTATCTCCATTTCTAATGCACTGTTGTCATTTTTTTTTTTTTTTTTTTTTAATTTCTTGTGTAATTTTGGAAGTTTTAATGGTTTTATTCTTTTGTGTGATTTTAATGTTTTAATTGTGTTTTAATCTTTTGTGTGATTTTAATGTTTTAATTGTGCTTCTGGTGTTTGTTTTATGTGATGATTTGTGATGTGGACTGTGAAGCGCTTTGTGTTGCCCTGTGTATGAAAGGCGCTCTACAAATAAACTTTGATTGATTGATTGATTGAACCAGCTTTAGTCTTATTTGAAGCACAGATACGTCCAAAGTATTTCTTGTTTTAGTGGAAAATCTTTTTTGGGACAATGTGTTGTGTAGTGTGCTTTAGGGAGCTACGTCGGGGAGGTTTGCGATCTACCTGGTGGCGGCACGGTGGCTGGTTAGCACTCTTGCTTCTCAGCAAGAAGGTCCTGGGTTCGAATCCCGGTCTGAGTGGAGTTTGAATGCTCTCCCTGTGTCTGCGTTGGTTTCCTCCGGGTGCTCCGGTTTCCCCTACCACTAAAAACATGCACAATAGGTCTGAATGTAAATGAGAGTATGTTCGTGTTGAATGTAGTTATTGTTCGTGTATGTTCCTCATTACTGCTGTTGTGTAACCGCTGATGCAACACTGACATTTCCCACACGGACAAACAGAGGATCTCTTCATCTTTAACACATATCAGTTCAATCCTTTGGCCTGTGTGTTATTTACGGACTGAAACCGGCTTCTTCCGCTCTGTCCTTTTGACCGGGCCTCTGCACATGGCTCGTGTTTGTGGAACGGCCCAAACGCTGATAAACTCCTCACAAATGGCAGTTTATAAGGACGCAGAGGGCAGTTTATTGGGACGCAGAGGGCAGTTTATTGGGACGCAGAGGGCAGTTTATTAGGACGCAGAGGGCAGTTTATTGGGACGCAGAGGGCAGTTTATTGGGACGCAGAGGGCAGTTAGCATCGAAGCGTTACCGAGAGAGAAGTCTTTGTAATTCTACACGCTTCGGCAAAATATACATGTTTGAAAGGTCCACGATTACTCTGGTCTGTCTTTGGTTTCTCTCTGGTCCCTCTGGTCTCTTTCTGGTCTTTCTCTGGTCTCTATCTGGTCTCTCTTTAGTCCCTCTGGCCTCCCTCCGGTCTCACTCCGGTCTCTCTCTGGTCTCCCTCTGTTCTCTCCCTGGTCCCTATCGTCTCTCTCTGGTCTCTCTCTGGTCTCTCTCTGGTCTCTCTAGTCTCTCTCTGGTCTCTGTGGTCTCTCTGTGGTCTCTCTCTGGTCTCTCCCTGGTCTCTCTCTGGTCTCTCTGGTCTCTCTCTGGTCTCTCTAGTCTCTCTCTGGTCTCTGTGGTCTGTCTCTGGTCTCTCTCTGGTCTCTCTGGTCTCTCTCTGGTCTCTCTGGTCTCTCTCTGGTCTCTCTAGTCTCTCTCTGGTCTCTCTCTGGTCTCTCTCTGGTCTCTCTAGTCTCTCTCTGGTCTCTGTGGTCTCTCTGTGGTCTCTCTCTGGTCTCTCTAGTCTCTCTAGTCTCTCTCTGGTCTCTGTGATCTCTCTCTGGTCTCTCTGGTCTCTCTCTGGTCTCTCTAGTCTCTCTCTGGTCTCTGTGGTCTCTCTCTGGTCTCTCTCTGGTCTCTCTGGTCTCTCTGGTCTCTCTCTGGTCTCTCTGGTCTCTCTCTGGTCTCTCTAGTCTCTCTCTGGTCTCTCTCTGGTCTCTCTCTGGTCTCTCTGGTCTCTCGCTGGTCTCTCTCTGGTCTCTCTGGTCTCTCTGGTCTCTTTCTGGTCTCTCTCTCTGGTCTCTCTCTGGTCTCTCTCTGGTCTCTCTGGTCTCTCTCTGGTCTCTCTCTGGTCTCTCTAGTCTCTCTGGTCTCTGTGGTCTCTCTGTGGTCTCTCTCTGGTCTCTCCCTGGTCTCTCTCTGGTCTCTCTCTGGTCTCTCTGGTCTCTCTCTGGTCTCTCTAGTCTCTCTCTGGTCTCTGTGGTCTCTCTCTGGTCTCTCTCTGGTCTCTCTGGTCTCTCTCTGGTCTCTCTCTGGTCTCTCTAGTCTCTCTCTGGTCTCTGTGGTCTCTCTGTGGTCTCTCTCTGGTCTCTCTAGTCTCTCTAGTCTCTCTCTGGTCTCTGTGATCTCTCTCTGGTCTCTCTGGTCTCTCTCTGGTCTCTCTAGTCTCTCTCTGGTCTCTGTGGTCTCTCTCTGGTCTCTCTCTGGTCTCTCTGGTCTCTCTCTGGTCTCTCTGGTCTCTCTCTGGT